TTTTTTTTTAACAAAAATAAAATAAATTTTGACAATGTAGGGAAATAGGTATGTAGCAGTTGGTAACACCGTAACACTTGAAAATAGAAATTTGAATGACAAATAGAAACTGTCAAAACACAAAACGTATTCACCTGATAAAAATGTTTCATGTACACCTCCCAAAATAAGAGAAATTGCTCAATGTTCAATGTCCTCATCATTGTGGACCTTGTATTCGATGTTAAGAACGCGTTTAAACATCCATAGACAAACACTGTCACATTGACAACTAGAAAAATTAATGATCCAATGTCACCAACTTGAACTGATTCCATAAAATGTTACTAAAATCTCATTGGATGCTGTAAAGAGTGTCATTACAGCACCCGTTTGAGTACTGTAATAGCTTTTATTACCGTCGCGAATTACAAAAACAATTTTATTATTTTTATATAGTTGCGGCATCTCTCTTCCGCGTAAAGTATTACTAAATAAAGTTTTCTGTAATATGTCATTTATTTAAAAAATTAATTTCTAATCAATATTAAAAACATTTATTTTTAACAATATTTTATTGGTACAAAATGGCTTAATCTAGTTCTAATTTTTTGAAAGATCCTTCAACGCCAAAAATGTTATCATAATTCGTTCGTTTTCCCATCCGTTTCGATTCATCGGTTTTTAATTTCTCATTTTCGAGCAAAAAATCAGCATTATCCTCAATAATTTTGACAGATTCGCCTAAAACAAACCACTTTCATCAAAACTCTTTAACCCGGCAAAAAATAAGAACCGTGTAAAGTTAACAATGCATCATCACATCCTCCGTATTCCCTTGGAAAGATCTCCAACGGAATTGCTTTAATTAAACTCTCCATGTTCTTGTGCATATAAATGATATCGGAAATTTCCTTTTTCAAGAATGGTTTAACGACGTTGAGGAATTTCTCGGTTATTCCGCTCACGTTGACGATATGAACTGCTTTTAAACGAATCGGCATTGCTTCTTGCACGAAATATAAATATTTCTTTAACGCGATTATATTCAATTTGAAGACGTGAGTTAATTGGAGACCTGCGCTGTCGAAAATTAAAATATGACCATCTTGGAGACCTCGTCTCGGACCTAAAATTGTCACCATCAAATCGATTCTTTTAATTATATCGGTTATATTGAAATGATCCGGATTTGTGTCCCCCAATCTTAATAGAACTGCCAGAGAGTTCTCTTTGGTGGTTTTATTAAAATCCAAAATGATTCTAAAATGATTTATTTCATTAAAGGTTGAGGTTAAAATAATAAAATGAGATTTACCCAGTTTTTAGAGCTTGTTGCATTTCCGAACTAAACGGATCCCGTTTTGAAAAGAATTCAGGGCAATGATCCCTCAAATTATAATAGTTTTCGATGCAAATTTTCGTTGGTTCCAACTTAAAATAACAACTATTTAAAAATAGGGCGATGTCTAAATCTAAAAATTAATTTTTAAATTTTTAATTCAATTTAATCGAAAAATCTTGTTAAAAACCTGATATTTTTGGTAAATGTGGTTGTTTATTCATCCAATTTTTGATCATTTCGACACTTTCCCGTTTTAAATCGGGTTTTCTTTTGTATTCATCTTCGAGAGTAACAAATTCTGTAACCATTTTTATTACGACAAAATTTCTTATTCTTAAAAGAAAAATTTCTCAGAAACTTGCTTTTATAGTCATCAAATTGCAATAAAATTGCTTTTTGAAGGTGAAATTAAACCATTTTAAAAATGATTCTTATTTTTAGATGTAAAATAACGGATAATTTCAATGTTAAATTCCGAATCATCAATTTTAATTGGTGAAGATTAAAGTTTACTTAATAAATCATTACAAACTAATTAAGACTTCAATAATAATCGGTTTAGAATCGTTTAAATAAATTAATTTCTATAAAATAGAATCAAATTGTTCATCGTTGGGTCTTCCGCTCCATATCATTCTTCATTATCCTCCCCATTTTTAGTACAAAAGTAATGAATACATATCGCACTTTTAGAAATAAAATGGCACAATTCAAAAATTGAATATTTTTAGTTTTAATCCATAAAAAGGCGCCCTCTGTCAATTACCGCTTGTTTTCTTAGAAACACTATTATTTGAATTGTGTCACTTTAGTGTTAAATATGACTCATTTTCTTTATTTTCCTGCATCTTTTAATGGATTTTTGTTACGAAAATTGTTAAATTAGCAAAAAAAAATTTAACAAAATATTGGGGTTGTTTTAGTTCCAACTTCACGTCAAATGCTTTGACATAAAAAAATCAATAGAAATAATAATTTAATTTCCAAAAACGATGTAAATTCGAAATTTAATTATGTTTACAAAAAAAAAATAAATAAAATTAGATTTTTCGTTCTTTGTTGTACCTTACCAAACAGAGATGGCGCTCGACACTTCCAATTTGAGGGTTATAACCTCACAAAAGATTGAATTTAATAAATTGCAACTAAAAACGAATTAAAACTCCAGCAATAACTCTTAATTTATGTAAGTATAAATCAAATCATCCTCGCGGGTTCCTCGGCACCATCCCCTTCCTCGTTAACCTCCCCATTTTGATTAACACTCTCGTTCATCATTGATGTGGTCACAAAACTTCCTTCGGTAGGGCTCGAATTAACCTCACTTTGATCGGAAATTCCAATTTTGAATTCAGAAACGGATGTGTTCGCTGAAAACACCGAATTTTCATCGTCATCATCATCAAGTTGACTTGTAGCCGAAACGAAGGATTGCTCGGAATCCTGACAAACTTTTTGGTAATTTCCGATACATTTCGAATCGGTTTTTACAACGTCTTCAATCGTTTCATCGAGAATCTCATTGATTTCATTTTTTACATTAAAATCATCCGAAATTTGATTTGAGTCCGAATTTGAATTGGAAGAGTTGGTTTTGTTAGTTGAAAATGAATCGTTTTCTTTATCTTCGTGCATCTTTTAATAAATTTTTAATTTTTTACTTTTAGTTGATGTTGAAAATGTTACATTTGTAATAAAAAATTCAATTTTTTGAGGTTATGTTTTATATCCAACCACGAAGTAGTATAAAGAGATAAAACGAGCGTACAAAAGTGGTGGGGGATTTGCTCCAAAATAGGGCGAACTTAATTCTGAGTTATACCTTGTGGCTCTGACGACAGCGCCCCTTGTGTTAAAACTGCAAACTAAAATTAAATATGCTTTTTAGGTTATTGTTGCTTGCAATTTGTTCTGACAGATCAGCTGATTTTAGCTGGCACCAATTTTATATTATAAGAGTAATAAAAATTATAATAATATTGATTAATATTATTATAATTACTTATTATCTAATATTGAGTTGTAAAAATGGTGTGTAATAATAAAATGTAATGGACAACAAAGGAAAAAATTACCGACCTAACCTAAACAGATTAATTTTTATTAGTTTACAGTTTTGCCACCGGGGCGCTGTCGTCAGAGCCACAAGGTAAAACTCTGAATTAGATTCGC